CCACCCTGACCGAGGGCGGGGAGGGCGAAAGCCACTGGGGACCCCCCTGGCCGCCCTCAAAGATTTTTTTACAGTGACCAGAGTCAAATATGGACTTTCTCCCACACCAATCTATGCAATTGTCTGTACTACATTTTAAAGAATGTTTTCTGAAAAAGAGGTCCTGTCTAGGCCTGCTTGAATCTCCAAAATACCAGAAAATAAAGTACCACAACCGGAAGTAAAGAATTCCAAGAGCGCAGTACAGCTAAAGATGTGTGCGCAACAGCAATAACAGCTACAACTAAATCAAATACAATAACATCAATGGGAATAAATAAATAGTACTCCTTTAAAATAAGAGGGCAGGGAGCCGGAGCGATAGCACAGCGGGTAGGGCGTTTGCCTTGCACGCGGCGAACCCGGGTTCGATTCCTGGCATCCCATATGGTCCCACCCAAGCACTGCCAGGCGTAACTCCTGAGTACAGAGCCAGGAGTGACCCCTGAGCATCGCTGGGTGTGACCCAAAAAGGCAAAATAAATAAAATAAGAGGGCATGGTCATTAGGCAATATTGGGAATAATAAACTTTGTATGATATCATCTTAGTTTTAAACAAAATATTTATATATTTATATATGTGAAGATAAAAACCCTCGAATTATAGATCAAATTTCATATAGCATCTTTCTTAAGCAGTATGGACTTCGCATTTATACTTTCCCATATCTTTCATATTATATACTTATACTGCTTTTGTGTAGAGAAAAATCAACTCTCTTCTTCATTTTACTTTTTCTGCTGACATCGGGATCAAAACAAAACCTGTGTCTCAAGACACACTCCCTGCCCTAACAAGCTTTTAAAAAGTCCAGCTGTATAAAATACAGTTAAATTTACAAAGCAAAGCAAAAGTAATTAAGTTATTTAAAGAAAGATGGTTCACTTTCTAATGACGTTAAATAGACGTGAAAAAAAATTTTAAGTGAATATTTAAGTTTTCCAGTACCCACTCTACTATCTTTCCATCCCTGGATTCCAGTAATTTTTTTAATAGTTTTATAGGGTGGGATGAGGGTGGAATGGCTCAGTAATAGCGTTCATCCTTCCGACGTTTGAGGCCCTATGTTGGGCTCTCCAGGTCCCCCCTCTCCAATAAAAATAAATCTCAAAGAAATAAACATAAGCTAGATTTTTTTTGGTAGAGAGGAAGTTAGAATCATGGCAGATATGCTTGAAACCAAACCTCCCAGTCATACCTGTGCCCATAGATTTCACCCTTGGAAAGAATTGCCGTAACAGTTTCTAAAGTATTGAGGACCCCTAGTTTCGAGAACCCAGGCCTACTCACCCGGAGGCTCTTGGGGTCCGTTGACTCTGGACCAGTCTCACTCTGAACAGCTTCTCTCTGCAAATCAGGTGAGGTGGCTCACCCAAACCCACCTACCCCTTTTATACTGTGAAGGGCGTGGCAAATCTTTCCTACCCACCCTAATCCCCTCTTTTTTTTTGCTTTCTGAGTCGCAATGGGCGATGCACAGGGATTACTCCTGGAATTCAGGAATTATCCCTGGTGGTGCTCAGGGGACTATATGGGATCCTGGGAATCAAACCCGGTCGGCCTCTTGCAAGACAAATGCCCTACTCACTGTGCTATTGCTCCAGATGCTAATCTCTAAGTTTCTAAAGAAATCTTTTTCATACTTCTGTTAATATACTCTAGGAAGGACCCCATAAAGCACTTTGTTTGGGCTCCTTCTTTTATAGATTCAAAAAACAATCCTGTGGGCTATTCATTTTGGTACCTATTTCCCAATTAAAAAATTTAAATTGTCATCATCATCATCATTATTTTTTTAATTGTGGTGCGGCAGGTTCAACTCAGGGCCTCACACATGTAAGCAATTCTTCTACCCAGTCCTATGGGTTAAAAAAAAAAAGTTTTTAGGGCTTTAAATTTTCAACATTTTGCCCTGTTAAAAGTAATTAAAACAGGAATGTCTGTATGTTAATTCAACAATTCTTTTATGAATATCAAGGGCTAACTGTGCTAGGGGATAGGAATAAAATAGGACATGTGTTCAGGCTCTACATAATTCCCAGGACAGCATAGAGACAAACTAGAAAATGAATGTTCATCTCATAGAAAAGTGGCAGGAGGTCGTAGGTTTACTGCTGCTTCTCAAGGGCTTAGCGTTCCCTAAGCCGTGCTAAGCGTTAATCCTTATGAGAATCCTGTGAGGAAGGCTTCAGGGTTTTCCTCTCTCGGTAGCTGTGGGAACTGAAGCACAGATAGGCCAAGTCACATTAAAAGTTGGAGAGCTAATATGCCTAAATCTCAACGAACAGTAACTTTGTAAATCACAGTTCTTTAAATTAAAAAAAAATACATATTTAAAATGAAAGATTTGGAGATCTGCATTCAAAGTCTGGTGGTCTAGCTCCAGATTCCATCTCTGAACGAGGAGTTCTTCAGAACTTTTAAGGCTGCTCTGTGCAAGAGTTCGGCCTGGAAAGAACAGGGGAGGGTATGGGACAGAAATAGGGAAAGCGGGCTGGAAGGAACAAGTGCCCCGATTGCGCAAGAATTTGTGCTTCACACCTGGGAAAATGGAAAGTATCTCCAGAGAATCAGAGTCTGAAGGATTTTTTGTCGTTGCCTTTTTGTTTATTCTGGCGCTACATGCTGTGGTATCGGGGATTAGGGTTGGGTAGGAAAGGGGGGGGGGGGGTCGTACTCAAGGCTCTGAACTCTGGCACTGCATTGTAGTAAGAAAGTTAATAAGAAATTTAATTATGCCCACTCTAAAGTCTTTGCCACTTAGAGTAAATATTAGGTTTTTTCACTCTCTCTCTTTTGCTTTTTTTGCATCATACTCGATGTTCGGGGTTACTTTGCACTCAGGAATCACTCCTGGAGGTGCTCAGGGGACCATACGGGATGCTGTGAATCCAACCCAGGTCGACATCATGCAAGACAACGCTCTACCCGACAGACCTGTCTGTCTGTCTCTCTCTCTTCTCTCCCCCCTCCCCCCAGCAGTGCTGGGGGGCTACTCCTGGTTCAGTGCCTAGAGGTTGCTCTGGTGGTCGGATTATCATTGATGAGATCCATCTGGACTACAGCTCCTGGATATTAAATATATACCCTAGATCATTGATCTCTCTCCCTGGCCCCAGAAGCTATTGTTTGGTGGTCGAATGTTGAGGCAAATTCACAGGAAAAGACTTGGTTACACACTCTTTCAAAGACAGTTTTACTGTGAAACTGAAGGGGGAAAAATGCAGTCTATGGGCGAGAAAAAAAACCTGTATTTTTTTTTTGTTGTTGTTTTGTTTTTTGGGTCATACCTGGTGATGCGTAGGGGCTACTCCTATGTCATGCACTCAGGAATGACTCCTGGTGGTGCTCGATGCTGGGAATCGAACCCAGGTGGGCCGCATTCAAAGCAAACATCCTACCCGCTGTGCAATCGCTCCAGCCCAAAAACCTGTATTCTTAATGATTACAAGAAATGAAGAGTCTCTACATAAAAATGATTAGGCCATGGAGGGTGAATGTAACCTTATGACCTTTAGTTTGAAGCAATGGCTTGCTTTTTTAAGATCTAAGAACTTTTCCTTTTTTGAGCTATAATCTCCAGCAATTTGGTAGATTGCCTCATTTTTGCCTCATTTTGTGAGCTCAAACTTTGTTTCTTTTCGATTCTGACACCAGCCTTAAGTGTTTAGTAAGCATTCATATTTTTCATGACCAAGTGTTTGCGTAAATGCTGGGGGAAAATCTTGTCTTTTTCTATGATAGATGCTTTAGAGATGGGTTGTATTACTGAGGCATAGACTGGAATGTTAAAGGCGAGACGTTCTAGAAATAAGATTGATCACAGAGCAAACAAAGAATATATGCAGGCATCTTCCTTACAGGGTTCCAGTGTACCAAATGAAACAAAGGGAGCCCTTTGGCAACACACAAACCTCAGATCACTTAGGGAATCTTAAGAAGAGTGGGCACTAGACATGTGTTACAGACAGGGTAAGTTGATGGTGCTTTAGAAAATGGATTGACCTGACTCCTGAGCCCTGAGAGGACATTAATTCTGTCTGAAATTTTGATTTTTGGGGGGATGGTAAGGGGTTGTAGGGGGTGGGGCTTTATTCCTGGTTGGATGCTTGCAAGACAAGTGCCTTGCCCACTTGACTATCTGACCCCTCAGTCTAAATTTTTTTTTCCTTTTTCTAAAGTTTTGTTTTTCAGTTACTTCCTGTGGTGCTCTGAGCTTACTCCTGGTTCTGCGCTCATTGTTCACTCTTCATGGGGCTTGGGAGACCATATGAGGTGCCAGGGATCAAACCCAGGTAGGCTTCCAGCAAGGCAGGCTCCCGGTCCACAGTACTATCTCTTTAGCCTCTCAGACTGAAATTTCTTAGCGAAAACTTCTAGTAAGGCAAGTTCTGGTCTGGGAAGTAGCTCAGTATTACAGAACAAGCCTTTAATGCAAGAGACTCTGGCTTCCATCACCAGTACGAAAAAAAAAATTCTGTGATTATGATTTTGCTGTGTTCATGATTAAAAAAAAACTGGTCAACTTAACTAAAGTTAATTTGCAAATGGAATGACTTTATTGTGATTATTTGGTAAAACTGAGATAAAGAGAAAAATATTTCATTGAAATACCATTTTTGCAGGGCTGGAGCAATAGCATAGCGGGTAGGGCGTTTGCCTTGCAAGCGGTCGACCTGGGTTCAATTCCTCTGCCCCTCTCGGAGAGCCCGGCAAGCTACCCGTGACGTATTCGATATACCAAACATAGTAACAAAAAGTCTTAACACTGGAGACACTACTGGGCCTGCTCTAGCAAATTGATGAACAACGGGAGAACAGGGCTACAGTGCTACCATTTTTGCAAATTCTCATTCTAGTCTTTTAAATACTTTTAAAGTCTTTGCACTCTGTGTGGGTGTGTGTACACGTGGTGTCTGAAATCTCACTTAGGAAAATCTAATAGGTCACTAAAAAAAAAACCCCAATGTCATGAACATAAATTGAGGTTTTCAGCCCTGACAAGCTGAATTAAAAAAAATAAATAAAAAAAATCCAATAGTGTATCAACATTTTTTCACTCATTTGCCGTATTGACAGTACAAATACAAATTTGGTATAAATGTACAGACTCTTAAGCAACAATGTACAGCCTTTTTTCGTCCTCCATGCTAAGAGATGTAAAAGTTTAAGGGGCAAACAATACCAAATGTACAGGCTTCCAAAACCATCTAAATAGAGCATACACTAGTTTTAGCTAAGATACATCTGGGATACTGACAAGTGATTACTTACATACAATAATGTAAACTTTTAAAAAATAAAACTTTAGTGAAACAACCCTGAAGGACATGCCAGAGGAAAAAGGTTACCAATTTATGGTATCAACCAATTTGTTTCAGCCACTTTGAGTCCATGTTCTAAAATCTAGTTATCGTTCCCTAAGTCAAGAGCTTCCTATCGTGCCAGTTATCTACGTTATGAAGTAAAGGAGACAAGGTGAAATGTTTTGTCATAACCACTGTATCAACTGCCTAGGACCTCAACGTGTCAGAGAAATCTGGGAAATGTTCATGCATAAGGTTATTGCCTTAGCTGACTTAAAACTGCCCCATACAACGGTACATATCAACCCTTAGTGAAGCCTTTAAAAAAAACAAACAAAAAAGGGGGTTGAAAAGTGGGTTAAGGAGGCAAATACAGCATCTGCCTTTAGAGCTACCAACTCAGGAATTCTCTCAATTATGAAACCTTGCAGAGACAAGATATTTTTTTCTTTCTCAAATTCCGGTGATGATGATATTCCTTACTCCAGATCGGGCATTTTTTCATCATCACTGTCTTGTGAATCATCATCTGCTCCATCTACTTCTGGCAAACCTACATCCTCATCACCACCAATGTTGTTCATCATCTCAGAGAACCGGTCAAAATTAGACATGTCTTCATCTGAATCATCTTCCCAATCTTTCCAATTACTGAAGTCCACGCTAAGCCAGGAGGGATGCTGGGAGCATTGGAGGTGGGGAATGGGCACTGGTGGAGGGATGGGTACTCAATCATTGTATAACTGAAACCCAAGCACAAAATTTGTTTTTTATTAATTCATAATTCAGATGAGGTACAGTTGTAGACTTACAAATTGTTGTGCTTGGGTTTCAGTTATACAATGGTGGGTGGGAGTACCCATCCCACCACTAGTGCCCATTCTCCACCCCCCCAACCCCCATCCCACCCTGCCTGTGTCAGGGCACTCCCTTTTGTTCTCTCTCTCCTTTTGGGTGCTGTGGTCTGCAGAAGAGACATTGGGTGGCAATCATGTTCGGTCTATAGACTACTTTCAGCATGCATCTCCCATCCTGGGTGGATCTTCCCAGCACCCTTTATTTAGTGCTCCCTTCTCTATCTGAGCTGCCTTTGCCCCTAGAGTGTGGGGCTGGCCTCTAAGTCATGGAGTGAAAAACCTGGTATTTATCACAGCTGTTCTCAGGTGTTAATCTCTTATTTTGTTACTTTGTTACCCAGATGAATGCAATCTTTCTAGTCTGTCTCTCCCTTTCTGACTCATTTCACTTAGCATGATATTTTTCATGTAGTACCACTTGTATATAAATTTCACGACTTCATTTTTTCTAACTGCTACATAGTACTCCATTGTGTAGATGTACCAAAGTTTCTTTAACCAGTCATCTGGCACTCCAGTTTTTTCCATATTCTAGCTATTGTAAACAGTCCAAGCACAAAAATTTTAAGTCTACAACTGCACCTCATAGTGTTTCACTAATAAAAATCTAAAAAAAAAAAAAAAAATTCAGACCAAGAGTTTTAGCGAAAACGCCAAGATCGAAAAGGCTCAGTGACCCTAGCACTCCTTAGGCCAGTAAAATCACAATAAAATAATATAAACCCGACTTGCTAGGTCACAAACCCGATTAACATTTTAAGGGGAAGGCTTGATTTCTAAATTCTACAATAAGCTAGATAATGGTTAAAAAAAAAATATATATATATATATATACACTATCAACTTGCAACACATGGGTGAGCATCATAGGTATAATATTGAGTGCAATAATTCAGATGGGAAAAGACGATGAATAAATAGAAGGAACGGAAATCAAAAATAAATAAAAAATAAAATGACCACTTCCTCCAAGACAGCTGAATGTAAGTTTCGATTTTTTCAAAGTTTACACTTAACACCTTTAACTGTCTTCAGGACAAAATTCCATGAAGACACAGGCCCTTCCATCGTACCATTTCGCAGAAGCGGGCTGCATGGTGGACAGGGCCCGGGAAGGCGCCAGGGGGTGGGCGGGCCTCTGCGGCGGCGGCGGCGGCAGCGGGCGGCGTTGGCTCCTCTCCGGTGGCCACTCGGGCGTTTTTTGGTTTTTTTATTAGTGTACGAGTTCGGCTATTAATTCAGCCACTGAGGAGGCTGATAAAAATGGGCGTTTTCTCCCGCGCGCGGCCTCCGCTCTCCTCCCTCTGGCAACGGCGGCGGCGGCGGATGCGGGCTCGACCTGCGTCCCACAATGCACCGCGCGCCGCGCGCCGGGGCGGCCGGTCCGACCCGGAAGCTGAGGCGCGGGTCGGGAAAAAGGGGGCGCGAGGACGGGAGGATGAACGTGCGTGCGTTTGCGCGTGCGCGCGAGCGAGCGAGGGGCGGTGAGGTCGGGCGGCGGCTAGTGACGCAGCCCATCTGCAGCTTTTTAACGGCTCTGGGTTTTTTTTTTTGTTTAATTTTTATATGATGAACCTGGGGTGGATCCGCAGGTTCTCCTGGTATTTGGCCATGATTTTCCGATCTGAGGACCCCCACGGGGGCACTTAGGGAATCAAACCCTCCCCGGGGGCATGCGCAAGGCCAAACTCCTACCCACTGTGCTATCAGTCCAGCTGCTGTCGATGGGCCCCACGGGGGGCTCGCAGTAGGCGGGAGGGGAATGAGGGTCACTTGGCTCTCATCCGCCTCTGCCATCTGGGACCCGGGGTTACTGGGTTCTTGTCTCGAGCGCAGAGAACAATTTTCAGGTGTAGACAGAGCAGTGAAATAAAATAGATTTTATTTGGAGGGTTTTTGAAAGTGTGGAGGGAAGGAGAGAGAATGAAAGAGAGACACACGCAATCGAGAGCAGGTGGGCTTCTCCAAGGGCCGAGAGAGCCCCTACACACATTGCACAATTAGATAGGAAAGCATGAAAGTACCTATCTCAAGAGGGAAGATGCGGGCGACACGTGCTCGAGGGGGCTCGGACTGCATCTAGGTTTTATGTGATGAACCTGGGGTGGATCGTCAGGTCCTCCTGATACTTGGCTATGACTTAACGATCTGGAAAAAAAAAAAAGCATTTGGCTTTTCTAGGTTCTTCTCCGGTTGTTTTGATCCGGAAGTTCTGGAGTCTTTTCCAGGGCTGAATCAGTAAAGTTAATCGGATTAAAGGAGAGGTCCAGAGGATTTTCTGGAGGAGAGGAACTTCATGGGGAGGGGTCCAATCTCCTCAGGGTCTGCTGAAGGTCTTACCAGGTCTTTGTCTTTCCATATCCGCAGAGTGGATCAGTCTTAAAATTTTCCTTCCCAGAAGTCGTGTTGACCTCAGTTTATTGCAGAGGTTCTTTCCCTGTCTACCAGCCTGCATCACAGGCCTTGAGGTTTTTGTTTAAATTTGACTTGACTTTTTTTTTTCTTTTTCCAGCTATGCTCAGGGATTACTCCTGGCTTTGCACTCAGGAATTACTCCTGGCAGAGCACCTGTGGAGTATATGGGATGCTGGGGATGGAACCACGTGCAAAGCAAACACCCTACTCACTGCGCTATCATTCTGGCTCCCACAGTTTTTTTAAAATTTGATTCCCAGTCTCTGCTGTTATTCCATATCCCCTATTCAAGGCACTGCCTCTAACGTATTGGATAAATGACTCTTATAATTACTTAAAAGATCGAGAGCTGGAGAGATAGCACAGCGGGTAAGGCGTTTGCCTTGCACGCAGCTGACCCAGGTTCGATTCTCAGCATCCCATGTGGTCCCCTGAGCACCGCCAGGAGTAACTCCTGAGTGCAGAGCCAGGAGTAACCCCTGAGCATCGCCAGGTGTGAACCAAAAAGAAAAAAAAAAAAGATTGAAATAGTAGCACCTGAGAATTATAGTCACAGGTTCCTTGGGGAATTTAAAATTTGAACCTTTTTTAGGGGGGGGAATTTGATTACAATCCTTTACTAATAAGACTATATAATGCTTTACATCACCTTATCTATATTTATTATTGCTATTTAATAATTGATATAATGAAATTTTCTCTGATAATATTTTCTATTTTTTGTTAGATAACCTTTTTCATAGAGTAGGTTATTTCTTTAGAATATAGTCAACACATTTTTGTAGAAAAACGATGTAAATACCTTATAGGTTATCTCTAAAAGTGGACAGAATCATGGATAAAGTGTAATGGCTATTCTCAGGAGGCTCTTGGGTTGAGATGGTTTCTAATTCTGTTTTTTTAATCCAATCTTTTTATATATTTCCCTTTCTCAGCAAAGTTAATGAACTATCCTTAAATCTTTCTGACTGGTCTCAAATACCAACAGAGCAGAGTAATAAAATGACCTGGTCCAAAAATAAACAAATATTGATTTTTAACTGGCCTTAATGTTCTAGAAGGCTGTCAGCTTTCTGATCTTTTGATATGTGTGGGTCCAGTTCTGTGATTAACCCTGTGTTTCCAATGCTGCTTTAGCTATCACACCTCTGTAAAATAAACATTTTGTTTGTTTGTGTTAACATTCAATTCATGTCACAATATTACATGTGGAAAAATGGTAATGATTATATGACTGACAATTGCCACCAAGTTCAGCCATGAGAAAAATAAAATTTAATAACTCTTCAGTGGCGCTGGAGCGATAGCACAGCGGGTAGGATGTTTGCCTTGCATACGGCTGACCCGGGTTCGATTCCTCCGCCTCTCTTGGAGAGCCTGGCAAGCTCCCCGTGGTGTATTCGAGATGCCAAAAACAGTCACAAGTCTCACAATGGAGACGTTACTGGTACCCGCTGGAGCAAATGGATGAACAATGAGAGGACAGCGCTACAGTGCTACAACTCTTCAATTAAGGAAGAAAATGTATGTTAATTGCTGTTTTCAATTTTTTTTTCCCCTTTCAGGTCATACCTGGCAATGCTCAGGGGTTACTCCTGGCTCTGCACTCAGAAATCACTCCTGGTATTGCTTGGGGTAACACATGGGATGCCAGGGATCGAATCCTGGCTGGCCACATGCAAGGCAAAGGCTGTACCTGCTGTGCTACTGCTCAGGCCCCAAGTTGCTGTGTTTTTAATCTTTTCAAATCCTCCTTTGCCTACAGACAAAGTGCCTTATGTATCTTACTGCCGATAGTGCTTGATGCAATGTTACGAAGTACTATTAAATGGTTTTCCAAGTTCTGATCAAACAGACCCCAATTTTTCTTTTTCTTTGTGTGTGTGTGTGTGTGTGTGTGGAAATTGCTTGAAACATGGTTCACTGGACTGGAGAGATAAACAAGGTAAGGCACTTGTTTTGCATGTGGAGCATGCAGGTTTGATCCCCGGTGGTTCCTAGGGAACACCCAGCTGTGATAACGGTTTAATCCTGTCTCCAAGGATTATTCCTAGTGGGGCTGGGGGGTGGGGGTGGGGGCATAGGCTGTTGTCGGGATTTAACCACAGCAGCTGTGTGCAAACCAAAGTGCCCTTCCCACAGTACTATCTCTTCAAGCCTCAGGCTCCAACTTCAGGCCCCCCCAGGCATTCCTCTTTCTCAGTGGAGAATCTATCAGATGTAGCAGCTCTGCCCTCAGAATAGCAGCTTCTTTGCAATAGCAGATTGTTGCAAACCTTGATGTAGGAGAGACTGTCCTAAAGCAGATACAGAGAGAAAATACTTTCCATTTTGTTTGTTTTCCATGAACTATTGCTAAACCACATCCAAAAGGAGCCTTTTGTTTTGTTTTGATGAGGGCAAACCCAACCAACAAGCAAAAAAACTAAAAAATTTTCTAAGTGGACTGACTTCTCCACACATCTCTCAATACAATGACTCACATTCTATTTATGGGATTTCTTTTCCACTTTTGCAAAAACATTTAGAATTCTAACCTTGTCCTCCAAAGTCACATATTCCAATTTGTTAATATCTGTAAATTTGTTCAATGTACTCTAGTCTAGCAGCCACGCAACTGATGAAAGTGGTATATCATCTTGTATCGAAGATAAAACAATGCACGCTCTAGTTTAGTAGGATTGTTCCTTGAATAATCTCAGTATGAGTCTCAAATCAAAGTTTTTTCATATATATATAGTCGCCTTTTTTTCCTCATGAAACTATGTCCAAAATTTGAAATTTATAAATTATGAATTCCAGGATAGATTATTTGTTTTAACATCTTATCAAGTATTTTAAAGCAGAAATTTACTGCCTGATGGCTCAGTACAGTTAGTAGTTCTTCATAGGCAGTGCCTGGTGTTTAAGTATATATTTTTTGGGGGGTCACACCCAAAGATGCTCAGGGGTTATTCCTGGCTTTACACTCAGAAATTACTTCTGGGATAATATGGAATGCTGGGAATTGAACCCAGGTTGGCTGCGTGCAAGGCAAACGCTTTACCCACTGTGCTGTCGCTCTAGCCCCTAGTGTTATATTTCTATGTGTTCCCTTATCTCTCTCATTTCCTTGGATACAGACTCACACCAAAGTTGGAAATTCTGACATGTGAAATCCGGGGGATTGATTCCTGAAACCACTTGGTCTCCTAAGCACAACCAGCTCTTCCCATTACTGCTGGGCCCAAGCAGAACTGGGGTGAGTATTGTCAGAATTGGACATAAACAGAACCAGATTCGAACCTCCTGAACACTGCTTGGGATATTCCCCCAAGGGCGTGCAAGGCAAACGCCCTACCCACTGTACTATCGCTCCAGCCCCTTGGATTGCTTTTAATTTCTTCTCTTGCTTTTTCTCCCTCACTCTTCCCCTTTTGTTGGGTGGTATGAGTGACCAAGAGTATTTTTGACATTTTAGTAAGGGCACAGTGAATAGGAAATACTTTTTGTTTGAGTTTAGTGGCTTAAATTTACCTGTTTAATGTACCGGTTTTAACTCTTGATTAATGCATTGGTGTACACATGGTTTCTAGAAGAAGACTGTAATCCACTGTGCTGTGCTGATCAAGCCTAAGAAGTACAGAATGGTGGCAAGACTTGTATTGCTGTTGGGCTTCTTGTAGTGGGTAATGGAGGAAATTTAACATGAAAAATAAGGCTTCATCCCTGGCACCACATATCCCTGGCACCTGAACATTACCAAGCGTGATCTCAAAGCTTCCTGAATACAAAACAAGAATTCCAGTCCTTGGAGCCATCTTTCTGGTGCACAACCTACATATCTTAAGGCCTAGAAGAAAAGAAAAGAATAAACTGTGAAAATGTTAAGCATAAAATTGACATTTTAGTCACCATCACCATCATTACAAGAAAAAGCAATCAATAGAATCTAAGAGTGATAAAAGATAAAGACCCTCTCCACTTCCCTGGGATTCACAAGATAGAAACAAAGAGAACAAAAATCTGGGAGCTTGGTATCAACTTTAAATTTTTTGCTTCAACAATTGCTACCATGTTCCTGGTCAAACTCTACTGCTTGGGACAAGCCTCATCCAGGAATTGATCTGTTGAAAAACTCAGGTATGCAGGTTTTATGGCTGAAATTTCCAGGTTTCATGGAGTCAGGGATGGGCTACCTCCCCACCACCCTGTACTTCTGAAGGCCCCCACAGTCATGCCACACGCCCCCAAATCACCACCCAATTAAAAATTTAACTCTAGCTCTATCCCCAGTTGTACTTTCTGGAGCACAATGACATCTCAAATGTCATCTCTATACCACTGATAAACCTGGAGTAGCACACCAGTTTGGGTGTAATTTAATGTAGATGACAACCAATCTTGATTAACAAAATATAAACACAAAATATAATCCGTAACAACATCTAAGTAATTTCTTATACAAGGGTTCAATGGTTCTCTGGTGAGATACAACAATATCACTTTCTTCTAAGGAAACATTTTTCGATCATTCTGTTAGCAAATTATTGACAACAAGCAATATAAAATAAATTATTGAGGGCCTGCTATGGGGGTCTAAAGGGTGGTTGGGAAAATTGGAGATAATGGTGGTAGAAAGGTGCAAAGGTGGTGGGATTGGTGTTGGAACACTGAATGTCTGTAACAAATCATCACAAACAACTTTGTAAATCACAGTTCTTATATAAAGTGTAAGGGGAAAATAATGCTTAGGTTTGTTAAATTGTTTAACTATAGACACATGATTTATAGGCAGTCCAAGCAGGATTTGATATGCAGATATCTTTACCTCTATAGATTGGACTCTTCCCCAAAGCTGGAATTTTGCCATTAGTAATTGAAATACATGCAAATACATGAAAAGAGTCTCTGCTATAATTGGGTCTAAGTTCTAAAAGCTAAATGGAAATGATATGTGCTACTTCTAGGAAGTGTGTGTGTGTGTGTATGTGTGTGTGTGTGAGAGAGAGAGAGAGAGAGAGAGAGAGAGAATGAAATAATAATGATGAGAATGAAATAATAATGATGAGTCTGAGAAATAGCATAAAAGATAAAACAGGCAACATTGAGAAATTCTAATTAAGAGATTTCAGATCAAAGTAAAAGTACTCTTGAAGACTAATAAGTGTAAGGAGTCAATGTATTTCAGATTTTAGGGAATATGCACTATACAGCATGCTACATCCAGCAGGATCTACATAGCATTCCATTGTCAAATAGTTTAAAATTTCAGTACTGAAGCATAATAAAATTATACCAAGATAAGGAAATGCTATGGAAGTCACACTTTAGTAGTCTTTATTGCTAAATCACCTCAGGTAAGTTGTAAGTTTCTATGATACTTCCTCTTTACATAAAATTTTTTATTTCATAATTGCAAGTAAGTACCTTGACTTGGTCTATGTGCTGTCTTGACAAGTAAGGAAAATGCTAATGAGAGACACTGATTTACCAGAACTGAATTTCCACTAAGTCAGTTATGGTGAAGACAGCATACATGCCAAGTTTGTCCCATATACTTGACAGTTCCTGCTTTTGACTCATTTACTTTGTGACTCTATTAGGTGACTCAATTGAATTAAAAAGAAGTTCATGAAAATAAAATTCAGGTCAGTCTGTAAAATTACTTCAAGCAAATAAGAGTATTCTAATTCAATGCTAAAGCTGCAATTAAAGTCTAACTTGTGCACTCAACTTGCAAATAAACAGAAAATAAGAACGTACTATAAATAGTATTTGTCCCTGAAATTCAGTCATCATGTACCTTTAAGTTCCCTATGCTCAGATTAACGACCTTTGTTACCAAACCTTAACAAGAAACTTGAAATAGTCAATGCATTAAAATTTAGCAATCATTTCTAACCTATAACTCTATAAAGCTTGTGAAGTGATTTAATGTTTCATCATCTATCATGTTGATGAGTCTCTGGTCTCTGGATCAAATCAATTTTAAACTCCAGAAGTAATAGTTCTAAAACAAAACTACTAGCTCTCTTACATCATTGTACTCTGGTTTTGAATTGATAGTTTCCTCTTCTGTGTGCATCTCCTTTTACTTTCAATATTCCTTAATTCTGAAACTGGTACTATTTTCCCCCTAAATGTGTATGTGTTTCTTGTTTTTAAATGTTGAAATGTGTTGACCTTTTTCTCCAGAATGTTTATCAGTTAATAATACTAAGAACTAGAAAATTAAAAAAAAAAAAAAGCAAAACATTAAAGATAACTGTACACATCTGAAAAGATTTGTGACCTGTGTTCATTTGTGACAACGAAAAACTTTTGCATTGAGAACATATGGTAAACAGACCCCTTGAGGGGCTGGAGTTAAGGCACTTTCCTTAGTCACCGAAAAGTTGATGCCAGTTCAATTCCTGGCACCACATGGTTAGCTGAGCATCACCACGAGTAACCTCAGAGCACAGAGTCATTAATTAAGCCCTGAATACTGTCAGGTGTGATCCCAAAATGCAAAAAAAAAAAAAAAAAAAAAAAAAAAAGAGGAAGGAGGGAAGGAGGGAGGGAAGGAAGAAGGGAAAGGAGGAAATGAAGTAGGTGGGCCCTGCCAATGACTTATGTGAGGCGAAGAGGAGAGAGATGGTCACTTTCTCCCAATCTGCCTCTGCCACCCAGGACCTGCTAGGAAGGGTAGAACTGATAAAAGTCTGCAGATGAGTCCCTGTGCTGCTTAGGCCAGAGCCCCACCAGCTCCACCAGGTGACTGTCAAACCACATCTGACATCCACTTGTTTTCTTTTGGCTTGGGAGTTAATCAGGGAACCCAGGACTGGAGCAAGGACTTGCTCTTTGCAGGAAAAGACAAACCAATTCTAGGCCTTACCCAGGTCTTACAGGTCTTTGTCTATCCTGAAAAGAATTTCAGGAGTAGATGAGCAGTGAAGCAAAGGAAAACAGATTTTATTTGGAAGTTTTTTGAGGAAGTGGAGAAGGCAGAGAAAGAGAAAATAACTCTTGCAAGAGAGAATCCAGACTTCTTCAGAGATGGAGAAAGCCTGATACACATCTCAAGAGGGTAAATGTGGGTGACTTAGGTGCTCAGGAACCACACGTGCTCGGCCACGTGGGCACAAGCAGCAAATGGTTTTGGGTAGCATATGATCCCCCTTCCTTTGTTAAGGTGGTTTTCATAGGGTTTCTCCAATTTACGCACACGTGGGGCTTTCTAACTAGGTGACAGTCCATTGCTAAGGTGGTTGCCAAGGGGTTAGTTGGGAATGGTTGATGGTCTTTGAAATTCTTGTCCTGGCCTTTTTTCTTTTTAGGAAGCTTCTCTCTGAGGGAGGTCCAGCCTCCTCTGGGTCTCTTGGCACAAGTGAAGTCTTATCAGGCCTTAGGTCCTGTGACTTTGCAGCCTTGGGGCTATTAGTTTTATTACTTCCTAGGAATTCCATTGCCATGGGGGCCCTTCCCTGTCTATCTGCCTACATCAGAAGGAAAAAAAGAAGTAAGGGGGAAGGAAGGAAGGAAGGAAGGAAGGAAGGAAGGAAGGAAGGAAGGAAGGAAGGAAGGATAGACCAGTTGAGTAGATCATATGCTGTGCCATGGCCAATGAGCTTCACAAATATCAGTATTAAAACTAAGCCAGAAAATAACAAATAGTTTTGCATTGCTGCACACCAAAAAGGCGAGCTTATTATATTCTAGCATTAAATAAATCAACGTCATTTTTATTGGCTCTCACTTCAGCTCCCCCTCCAAACGAATTCCATCAGAAGTTCATGTAGCACCAGAAAGAAAGAGTGGCACTTTTGTATAGAATGCACAAAGTACCCAATGATATCAAAACCAGAGTGGACAAAAACACCACCTGTGAAAGGAGAAAATAACAGAAGGCTAAGTGCTACAACTAGGTTTTATAAGTATTATCATTAACCACCAAAATTTGTTTTTTCCCAGGGAACCTAGTTTGGAAATAAATAGCATATTTTAGATATTTGAATAAATACATTTCGATCTTTCTCTGTGTAAACTGCAAGAGAAGCAGATGTGCTTATCTTCACTTCCTCCCTTGCAGTAACTCACTAACAATTTAAATTGTGCTCACCCAGCTTCTGACTCCAGCAGGCCCTTTTTTTGCCTTCTAATGCATGCAGAACGAATTCCAAATGAGTATCAAGTTAGTTTTCAGCCTATATGAAACTATTTTACGGAGCATTTAGCAACAGACTGCTAGGCCAAAGGGAATCTTATAATAACATTAACCTTCTCTGATTATTTAGATTGAAACAGTTGGCTGCCAAGAACCCCAGTTTGGCCAAAGTCGCACACACTCAATAAGCAGGAGAGCCAAGACTAGGACTCAAGTCATCTGACCCCTTCTCCAGGCTCTTTCCCACAGAATTGGTCAGATCATATCTCATGTATTAGATCACATCATGTAAAGTAAACAGCTAATCCTTTTGTCTTCTGCATGGGCCCTTGAATGTTCTCAACCCAACCCTGCATTTCTGTTTTTCTGATTTTATGGGATTTTGCCTCCTTTTCCCCATAGCATTTTCAAGTGCTTTGGAACACAGGGTCCCAAGCAGCTGAGTCACTGGGACTGAGATGAGTATTTGTGTGTGGCACTGGGGATCAAACCTAAAGTCTAACTCTTGCAAGGCAGATGCTTTTGGCCCCTGAACTGTCCCAGGCTCCTCTGTGATTGGTTTTTAACTTTTTTCTATGCATGTGTTAGTATCTAGAGCTCTCAATGCTTCTTTTTTAAAAATTTAAGTCCCTTGGACACTGCAACTCTTTTCAGTTTTCGCTTGTATGCAATCATTCTTTGTCGATAATTAAGCTGAAGAA